TTCTGCAGCTTCCACAAGCTTAAGCAGCAAGCTAGCTTCCACCCTTTGCATGAAAGAAGGGCACTTACAGTTCCCATCTATATATATATACATATACAATTGCATGTATCATGTACGTGTGTATATGTCAAGGTACCCCAACTGCTAGCCGTAAGGGAGCGACCTTTTTGGAGAAGCCAGTCAGAGGCCCCCCGCATGATTCCACACACTAAGCTGGGCTGATTCAAAGAACTTAAATCAGGCAACTATAGTAAGGAAAACCTATTATTTACTATATACCCAGAATCCCAGCAAGCAACAGTAGGGGTCCTAAGTGCAATGTAGAGAAATTCAACCCCTGAACCCTAAACTTGCCATGCAGAGCTCGGGTAGGTCTTGTCCACCATGGCCGACGTCGAACCTGGGATGGCATAGTTTACTTTTTGGTTCTTAGTAGGGAATATGGGAATGTATTCAAATTGTAAGGACTATTCCGTTATTCCCTGCTAAGAACTGGTAACTTTAGGGTTGAGGGAAACTGCTGGGGGGTTCATGGGCTGTTTTAGAGCAGGATGAAGGGGTCTCCGTAAGGCACTGTTAGGAACAGCGGGTGCAATTGTTTTGGTTTTGTCTTTTGAGTGGTCATCATTCTGGCTGTGGTTGAGTTTACTCAGGCCATTGTGATGGCTGCCCTACGTGTCTCCCGCACTGTCCTGGGACATGGCTCAGACGGATCCCCCACCTGCTGCAAGAGCCCCGGTGCCCTGTACTTAGCGCGAGCCCGACTGTCATCGTAGATAAGCCGTGAACTCCCCGAAGCCAGGACAAGACCAGTCACTAACGCGAGATTTCTCTGGAGGTTCCGGGACCCAAAGTAAAGAGATCTCACAGTCTGTCCGATTGACTTTCTCCACCAGACACGACCAGTTTGAAAAAGCGCTGAGGTAAAAAGACCTACAACTTTCATGTGCACCTCTAGGAATCATTCAAAATCATGGGGCCACCGTCAAGCACATGCGCAGCACGCACTTCTCGGGCGCAGGGGGTGGTTTTCAAAATGTGTGGGTTCTCGGAACGGCATAGCCTAGACTTGTGATTTCCGTCTACACAACATTCTTGTGTAGACAGATATCAGATGGGCCCAGGAATGCCACTCTGCGAACGGAACCCAGAAAACGTCTGGGACCCCGAGCCCTCAACATAAAATCCACGATGTCCCTTGTATGATATAAAGCATGTCTTCCTCAACTATCCCAAGTTGGTGTGGATCCTTCTTCCCGAGATATCCCTAATTCGTTGTAAACCCTTCGTGTTAACTTGAGGCCTATGCCCCGCTCCAAGACTCCGTCCCTTTCGAGAAGAGGGCGGCAGAGGTCTGCCTCTACGGTTTAGGCTTTGGGCCTTCGGAGATCCATTATATGGGGCTTCAGGTTTGAAGGGTATTGCCCCAATGTTTCAGAATCAAACGGAAAAGACAATTGGAATTATCTGCAGGCTGCCATTATACAGGTATTCATTGCAGAGCTTTGGGGTTGAGAGCTTGGTAGCCAAAAACAATTTATGTACAACCTGGTGATATGTCATAGTCCCACATATCTGCCTCTGTAGATGACAGGAGTATTTCGTAGCGAGCTTACCTTATTTTGGCTTGTGGCAAGGAGTGCAGGGGTTGGGGTTTAGCAGGTTGAGCTTTTCAGAGTGAAAGCCGAAAAGTTTGTTTGGTGTTATAGTATACCATAGTATATTGTATGCCATGGTATGTAATTGTATATTATAGTAATCTATTGTATAGTATAGTATCTTGCAAAATATTACAGTATATTGTAGCATATTGTCGTAAATTATGATTTTTATTGTAGATTATAGTATATCATAGTATATTATGGTAGATTATGGTATACTTTATCAGATGTTGTTGTGGGGACCGGTTCCTTTAATGATTGTGAAGCAGGCCCCAAAAATTTCTCACGGAACCGGATTTCCACAACAATCGTGGGTTCATACTAAGTTCTTCAAGGCTTCCATCCAACCTCGTCTGCAAAAAATAAGAAAACACTAGCGAAGGAACAATGATGACAATATTTCTTTCAGGACTGTGTGCTGAACTTTTGAAGCGGCAGGTTAGATGTCACGAACGGTTGTTGAGGGAGCATTTAAAGCGAGATCTGCTAAGTGGGGTGCGCATGTGGAGTTGCAAAGCGTAAAGCGAGAAACCCTTTAGCCTGCTTCTAACTTCCAAGGTAGCTGCAGCATGCACTGAACTTTACGTTATGGAATTTTCAACAACTTGCAAACATCAAAAGCTGGCCAAGCCAAGGAAAGCTGCTGGTCCTCAGTTGAAGGGGAAAACAATCCCTATAATTAGAATATATTCCTATATTCCCCTAAACCCTACACAATATATTCCCCTATTACCTATAAGTTAATTATGTCATCCCGGATTTTGAGAAAAAAAAAAGTAGCACATATTGCCTTATTCCCTGTAAGCCTATAAGTTAACTATGTCATCCCAGAATCCTAAACCCTAAACCCTAATGGTAGCTAAACCCCTAAACCCTAAGCCCTAAACCCTAAGCCCTAAACCCTAAATCCCTAAACCCTAAACCCTCAACCCCTAAAACCCTAAACCCTAATGGTAGCTCGGCCGGCTCTGCAGGCTTCCCGGATCTTGGCTAAGTATCCAGATCGCGTGCCTGCGACTGGGATCCTTTAAGAGCAAGGCTTTCGGGGGTTATGAGTATAGTCACCCTTAAGTAGATGAAGCTATAGGGGCTATATCGGGATAATGGAAAAGACAATGGAAATTATTTAGGGTATAGTCCCCCTTAAGTGGATAGAATATGGGGGTATTTGGGGTAATTGGAGATCTTATTATAATATACCCAAAAGCCATATTCCAACTACTTAACGGGGACTATAAGAGTTCAGACTTGAGATTTGTGATTGGGGTTGTGGAACTTTGATTCAAGGATTCAGGATGGGGCGGATGTAGAGGGTCTGGTTTCAGCTAAAGTTCTGCAATGCTTTAGGTTTGAGATGAGTTTCAGGCTTGCATATTCTGTATAGGATAGTGCCTTCACACAGGAACCACTAGGTGTTTGTGACATCTTTTTTGTGACCGGAGCGACATTCTCCTGACAACATCTTGTTTATGTGTCAGCATAGGGTTTCACCCGCACCATCATCAGCAAACAAACCTTCTCAGGTGATTTGTGAGAAAGCCCCATCCACGGACCTGCCAGAGATTGAGAAGATCCTCGCCTGCAGATACGGAGATATAGGGATCAGGCAGGGTCTCTTTTGCCGTGGACTAGTCTTCTGTAAGAAAATTTGACCAAATCTGGCCTCTGGCTAGTATGGCTGCAAGGTTTCGGAAGACTTTTTGCCGAAACCCTCAGTTGCGACTGAGACTGCGCGAGTAGGTGGCATGCAGCACTGCAGCGGCCGCACTAATCCGGTTTGGAACTTTGCACGAATGAGATTGCACGAAATCGCACCAGATTGCACGCAAGAGGTGTTTACTTTGCGTAGCGCGAAACCCCACGAAATCGCACGAGATCACACGATGCAGACCAGATCAGTCCAGACTACATTAATGGATTTCCGATTCAAGCTCGGTCAGGGAGCAGTATGGTTAGGAAGGTACTATATGGGTTCGTGGCCTTTTGTCCAGGTATTCCTTTTGGGCTCAAACCAGGCAGCCAAGTTTGACTGTCTTCGTTTAAGCAGCAACGCACCAGGGCAAGATGTTGATGCGGTCTCCCTGCAACCGAAGCCTGACTTGTTTTTTACAGGTAGTTGTCACAGATTGATTCGCTGAACAGATTGTGGCTCACATATGTCTCATCGACCTGCCAAGGAGAAAGTTCTTAGTCCCTGCGTCCATGCTTTGCGCCTTGTTCGCACGATTTGGGTCAGGGATTCTTCTGTGCTCCAGGATTGTGAGTACCAGTGTTTTCTTGCAAGGCGAGTCGGTGTGTTTGGAGTAAGAATATCAGGTGCTGATTCCATAAAGGACTCACGGTGTTTGTTGTGCTTGCACCTCAAGCTCTGCGTAACTCTTGGAAAATGGATGTTAAATGATGTTAGAATAGCTCACTATGGTCCACCCGGCTGCTGCTTTACAACATGGTCTCAAGCCCAGGCCATGGAAAGCAGACACATATGAGAACATAGTAGTTGCTTACGACATCACAAGTAGGACCTGCCGTTGCTATCCATCCGAGTGCTACAACATACTCCCTGTACAGACTGGAAGTTTTCAATTAGATATAATATTAGGGTTATATTGGGGTTATATAGGGATAATGGAAAAGAAAATGGAAACTACTATAAATGGGTCATATAGGGGTCATATAGAGTATATATGGGGGTTATACTGGGATAATGGAAAAGAAAATGGAAGCTACTATTTAGGGTTTAGGGTTTCTTAAGCCTATGTGGAAAGGCGGCGAGTTCAAGTACATCGTGCACAAGCACCCCGTCGGACAGCTTGTGTTTCTGTAAGGAGTCTTTAGGGTGTCTGGGGGTGGGGGTGCAGCCACTTACATCAGGGATAGGCAGAGCTTTCGTAGCTTTTTTTTTTGTGAGGGGGAGGTTCCTCGCATTGGCTTCATGAGTCCCGCAATTTTTTGGCCTTCATCACTCCTCATTTGCCCAAGGAGTTCCTCAGCCACGTAAAGCTTGCATTCTTTGGAGCTAACACAGTCTGTGGGAAACTCAGGGTGCATCCGGCAGCCAGGCGAAGTTGTAGAACGGGTTCAAAGGGAAAGCTACAGGCTACAGACACTTTCGCAGTCACCATGCAACTTTACACAGGGCACGCTTTCAGAGCGCACCTCTTGAAGGCGATCCTCAGGTCCTCATGTATTCCACATACTTACTCTGTAATCCTCCCTCGCTTGGATTTTCATGACTGGTTATACCCCGGGGCTTCAGAACCTTTAAAGCTGGACAAATTTTATTACCCAGGAGCCCACCATAAATTCCCCAGACCTCCGTTTGCCGGGTGGTAGCCCAAGGCACATCCAGCAAGCCTCCAACGGGAAGGGCCTCGCTGCCGACCAGGCATCTCGCATTTGGGAGGTAGGCGTTAGTGTTCAGGGCTTCAGCGGTCGAAGGTTGTGGTTTTGGGGTTAAAGGGTGCTGAGGTTCAGGGTTGAAGGGCGCCGGATCTCCTCAGGCCCGTACAACCCCAACTGCAAAGAAACCTTTAGGGATATAGATAGTTATGTATATAAACATACACATGTAGACATAAGTATGCATATGTATGTATTTCTACTCCTACATTCCGAGCATTCACAAGATCAGCCTTGTAAGCTGTTTGAATGACCAGGAACTTTCCTGCTGCCGCCATGCGTGGCATTCGAAGTTTGATCACATTAGTGCAACAAAGCATTGCTATGGCTGCTGTGGTGGCTTCGTCAGCACTACACTAGTGACTGACTACAGCTTCTTATTGCAACTTCTTGCCTGCATCAATGTGGTTCCTATTACAGCTGTTTCTTATCCTGGTCCAGTTTGCACAGCATCTTACTGCTTTCCTGATTCTGTGCATGCTTGCTGGCACCGCTGCGTGCCCCTACTGGGAGTTTCTCAAACATATAACCCCAACAAAACCCTGCGAACAAAACTTGGAAGGCTGCAAAATGAATGGACTGCGGTGTAACATGAGGGTTTGGGCTCAGGGCTTACGGGGAAGACGGCATGGTATGTAACAGCTATAGTCTAAACTCTTTCAAGGGGGTTATATGGGGGATTCTATAGGGGAGTATTGTAGGGCCTATCACGGAGGGGTACTAGGAGTTTAGACTTGTGGCTTAGATGCCGAATCTGTCCAAGTCCATGGGTGTTCCGGCCTTCAGGTCATCTATCTTTTCACCCGGAAGGACAAGACCAAGAAGGCAGTGACTTGCCTGAAAGTAAGATTAGATTAAGTTGCCAGAATGGTTACAAATATATATATATAAATTAATACGGTTTCCCCAATACAGTAACTTAAATCCTGCATCCAGATGGCTTGGGATCCAAGGGATTTAGGGGAAACACGAGGCCTGTTGCACAAGTCTGTAATCATGGGGCATGGGGAATGGTCGGCGTTCCCAAGAACTTGCCTCACTTGCCGCATCTTACACATCAAGTTGCAGGCAAGAATGGTAAAGCTTAGACGTCGCAGAGTTCAGCAGTATTGCGCCCCATGTTCTGAGCAAGCTGGCTGTACTTCCGCTTCCCGAATAGGATCACCAAGCCAGGGGACCTTTCGGAGATAACCAAGTTCAGGTTTGAAGGTCTGGATATGCAGACCCCGATACTCGTCCAAGAGCATGACCGCAACACAAAGTGCCGCAGGAGACACGTTACCAGAGTCGTGTAACATAAACCATTCGCTGCCAGTCCAGAATTTGTTTTGATGCTGAGATGTGCTTTGCCACATCTATGGCTGTCAGCTGCCCCATTTGTGCAGCGATTGCCTAGGTGAAGACAGGGGCAGTGATGTCCGAGCTCTACGAGAGTAGTCGGTCAGAAGATGGGCCCGGGACCTAGAAAGCGGGCCATGGACCCACGGCGCTTTCTACTCCTCTTTTCCTGACATGTGCAGCTATGCAAAGTAAATGTATATATAGATATACAAGTAGATATCTATAGATAGGCTTGTAGATATGCGTACACGACACTGCCCGTAGAGACAAATAGATTGATAGGATTTAGGGTTTAATCGAATTGACAAGGAAAATGGACTAGGAATTTCATAGGGGCTTCGCAACTGCAGCTATCAGATCTGACCTGCCCTAGTAGTAAGCATCCGCTCCCTGCAAAGAAACTTTCTCAACTCTCTACCCGTACACAATATGGAGGAAACATTTTTTAGGGGTTGAGAGAGACGGGGTTGGGGAAGTGATTATCCATTTAGGCTTCACTAGGGTTGCACGGGGCGCAGGGTATCTAGGCTTTCCGCCATTTTGTTTTGGATAGCGCCGTTGCCAAGACGTCACGATTCCTCCAAATCTTTTTCTTTATCATAGAAGTATGCTGGAACCTGACTGATGCATCCAGGCAAGAACTGTGCGCCGGGCTGTGTCTATGCTGGACATAAAAGAACTTCCTAGATTTCCTTGGCAGCATGGTTTGTTCTCACTCAAGAAGGAATGTATGCTGAGCTCTGTGAGAGCTATCTAGAAAAAGGCCCAAGTAAGATGGCCCTCTCCGGAAGATGAAAACATTGGGGGGAAATGCCGTAAATAGCTCATGTGATTGCGGCTGCTACCGCCTACCGCAGCGGGCAGAGCTGTATTCGCCGTGCAACTCGTGAAGCCCTCACGCCTGGTTGCTGTTAAGGTAGTGACATGCCAGCAATGCAGTCACTAAACAAATATGCTTTCCTTTCAAATGTGATGTGATGAAAGTTCCTCAACAGCAATCCGATAGGTGGGCAATGGCTTCCCGGCAAGAAACAAGCTGAGCATCTCCTATATTTATGGGGTGGTGAGTTATTAGGGGAGGTGGTTATTTTCTTTTCAGGTATGGCTTTTAGCTACCATCCCCCAAAGAGGCATGGGAAGCTGATATGATCCCGTTCTCAAAGGACAGTGGTCTGAGAAGTGATGTTAGGGCCCTGTTCGCGCTTGCATGTTAGTTTGGAGCTTTCTTCTTGGCTCGACATGTTGAGGGCATGGACCAACGTACGCTGGCCTCAAGAGGAGTTCAGAAGGGGAGTGTTGGGGTAACTGATGAGGGTACCTCCTGCAAACTATGAATCTTTCTTCGATCCTGGGAGTGAAATTCTAAACCGGGTGTATGTAATTAGGGCCAATTAGGGTCTAGAATGAACTCTTTTACAGGAGTGGACGCTGATATCGAGCAATGCCCCCTTCCTTTTCCTTCGAAGTCCAAGGTTCTTGTACATCATCTACAGCGCGGAAAACACCCTGGGATCCAACTGAGCCCTTCGGCAGCGACACCGAATTTGAGATGCTGACAATTACCTGGTATAGTTCTGGCAAACGGTACCTCAAATAGAGCTGCAACTGATATTGGTTTTTATGTGGTCCCCTATATTACTTGATGTTTGGAGGCTCTGTAATAGGAACTCATTAGCTCGAAGTTCTAAAGGCGGAGTACATTGCAAGGTATCGGGCTTACGGGCTTAGAGCTTGCGGCTTAAAGACTACCCCAACCTCTCAACCCGCACATCCCCTCACCAAACATGGAACCTTGCATGGGCCTTGGCTAAAGCAAGAGCTGTATACCGGAGATACCGATATCCCCTTTGCATGTTTGATCTACGAACCCAGGGATCATGTGTGGTCATGGGGTGTGTGTGGGGGGGGGGGG